ACTACTGAATCTGATGGCGCTATAGAAATAATAAAATAATACTAATCAACCCCACCCATATGCCAGTTATATTCTTTGAAGCACACTGGCTTCCTTGTGCTCTCAGCTCTGCCACTTACAGACACCTCCACAGTCCTCTCAGTTTTGGATCCTTCTTGTCTCTGTACTTAAAGGACCACTATAGGCAGCCAGACCACTTCAGCTTTATGAAGTGGTCTGGGTGCCAGGTCCAGCTAGGATTAACCCTTTCTTCTATAAACATAGCTGTTTCAGAGAAACTGCTATGTTTATAATGGAGTTAATCCAGCCTCTAGTGGCTGTTTCATTGACAGGCGCTAGAGGCGCTTCCGCGCTTCTCACTGTGAAAATCACAGTGAGAAGACGCCAGCGTCCATAGGAAAGCATTGAGAAGGCTTTCCCATGGACTGGCTGAATGCGCACGTGGCTCAGGCCGCGCATGCGCATTCAGCCGATGACGACAAGGAGGAGAGTCCCCCGCCCGACGCTGGAAAAAGAGGTTAATTTAACCCCTTCCTCCCCCTAGAGCCCGGCATGAGTATGTTTTCCTGGCACTATAGTGGTCCTTTAACTGCCAACATCTCCTCTTGGCGCAGAGCTGAGGTCTCTCCCCCCGATGTAGCTGGGTGCGTTTGAGTTGTTCTGGGAAAACTGCGCAGTTCTTTTTGATTGTACCGCAAGCTACTGTATCAAAACAATACAGTAGCTTGAATAAACTGACACTTTTATATAAAAATTGTCAGTATTCAAGTGGTACCCTTTGTTCATCAGGGGGTATATCAGGTCCCAGGCAATCTTGCCACTGGTTCCCATATGTTCTGGGCAACCTGGAGGGAAGGCCTGAGTATACCCAGTCTCTCTCTCAGTGCTTATATACCTTTACACCATACCTGGAGTGCTTGGAAGGAATATACTGCTTCATCAGGGATTCATCCACGCATATATTCCATCCAGGTGTATAAGCCTTTGCAAACCTGGCAGTGAAGTGGGTAATCGGGGGTGGATTTTATACAGCCTGTCAAACTGGAGATGCTCCCTAGGGGGGCACAGGCTGTTGTCGCTGAAGTGCATGAAATGTAGAATCATTTCATACCTCTTCCTCGACATACATTGGGAGTAAATGGGGGTAGAGCAGATGGGGCTACTGCTCCAGTAGGAGCGGATGGAGGGCTTCTTTATGATGCTCATTAGCATAGTCAATGCCCTGAATCTTTTAAATTCTTGCACATCTATGGGGGCCCATTGCTGCTTTGCCAAAAAAGTGTCAGGCTTTGAAGCATGGAACTGATCGGCATATAAATTAATTTGTACGACAATGTTCCCCCAATACATCATCTCCCAGAAACACCTCCATGAACTGTTTGGGGCTAAATCCTGCAACATCCACATTGATGCCAGGATTTGCAATGAAGGGTGGGATATCTGGCCTCTGGTGATGAGGCACTATCCACTCTTCAGCAGTACTGCCAGCTGGAGCAGCACGTCTCCTTCTGGCAGGGGACCTAGCAGCCACAGATACATCATCACTAGATACATCACTAGCAGCAGACATTGTATCTAGTGATGTATCTGAGCACCTGGCAGGGTCAAAATCAGGGTTGGAGTCAGACATAGACGCATCAGATTCTAACGCAAGGATGGCATACGCCTCCTCAGCATTATACAACCTCTGTGACATGATCACAATCACTTTATTTAGTGATCTGTCACAAAAAAAATTACTTAAAAAAAAATTAACCCCTAAAAAAAAAAATTCACAGACCGCAAAATAATTACTGCTGTGCAAGAGCCAGGGATCTATACAGTGATCACTGGCAGGACAGGGGTTAATGGCTGTGAAATGAGCCTTTTTGGTCACACAATTTTACAAATCCCTACCTAAACAAAGATCTCTCTCTCTCTCTCACTAAAACACAAGTGAAGAGAGAGAGGGAGATCCACACTGATCATAGTCAATATTTATGAATATTGACCTGACCAGACAAATGGGGATCATAGTTATAATAAAATTATTATACGGGGCAAGTTCTGAATGGATGACCCTAGCCTGCCTCCATGATGAGGCAGGCTAGGGACACCCCCAGAAGCTTCATGATGCACTGCCTTTAGAAAGGCAGCGCTATATTGGAAGCCACATGGCTGAGGGGGGCAGGGGGTTAATACATTTATTTAATTTGTAATGATTTTTTTTATTTTTTATTTTTTTTAATGATTTAAATTTTTTTTTATTTATTCTTCACTTAGTGCCTCGACCCCTCGAGGCACACAGACACCGCATCGGAAGCCTGCCTGATGGCTTCCGATGCTTTGCTACACTGCCTATAGTGTCCCCTTTTTTAATAGATTGCTTGTTTATCCCAGTTGTTGTGCACTGCTGCTAATCTGAAAGGGAAAAATTTAAATGTCTTTTTCATTAGGATTAGAGGCAATGTATGTATTTCCCTCCCTATTTAATATAGTATTTTTGCAGCTATGTTGGATTTTGTATTTACTGGGGATCATTTGGTTCTGTTGGGTCTGTAGGAGTAGAAGTTTGACATGTTTATTTTAGTTACTGCCTGCCTTTCACTCCAGAAAAGAGGATATCACACATGTGCGTTTCTTCTAATCCTAAGGAAACAAATTTACGGTAAGTAAATTATTTTTTAACTTTTTAAGTGTTTCTGCACACCTAATTTATCTGGGAGTTATGCAGTCTATATGTTGCATTTTAAAGGAACACTATAGTCACCTAAATTACTTTAGCTAAATAAAGCAGTTTTAGTGTATAGATCATTCCCCTGCAATTTCACTGCTCAATTCACTGTCATTTAGAAGTTAAATCCCTTTTTTCTGTTTATGCAGCCCTAGCCACACCTCCCCTGGCTAGGATTGACAGAGCCTGCATGAAAAAAAAAACTGGTTTCACTTTCAAACAGATGTAATTTACCTTAAATAATTGTATCTCAATCTCTAAATTGAACTTTAATCACATACAGGAGGCTCTTGCAGGGTCTAGCAAGCTATTAACATAGCAGGGGATAGGAAAATCTTAATTAAACAGAACTTGCAATAAAGAAAGCCTAAATAGGGCTTTCTTTACAGGAAGTGTTTATGGAAGGCTGTGCAAGTCACATGCAGGGAGGTGTGACTAGGGTTCATAAACAAAGGGATTTAACTCCTAAATGGCAGAGGATTGAGCAGTGAGGCTGCAGAAGCATGTTCTATACACCAAAACTGCTTCATTAAGCTAAAGTTGTTCAGGTGACTATAGTGTCCCTTTAAGTATTGCATGGATGATGCTGTACATCAATAAGGGCTGGTGACTTTGTAATATCTCTTCTAAATTTTTGATTGCTGATGGCTTTTTTTTAATTTTAATATGTCAGATGTCCACAGCTATATCTGCCTTTATTACTGTAAGCTGATACCAGGCAGTGGGGTTCCATTGGACATTAACCAGGACTTCACTAGCAAGTGAATACTTTTTAACTATATTCTAGATGCCCGCTTTTGTTGGTCAATTTCAGTACACCAACCTCGAAAACATGTTACGGGAAGGTTTTGCCTACATACCACACACAATCTCAATATGTCTACTGCGTTTAATTCTGTGTTAAACTACAGTAAGAAAATATTTAATTTGCAATTTTATTCTTTGAATCATTGCCCACCACCAATTATCAGTTTATATTTCACAGATTCTTATACTTTTATGTACATAGTTTATTAAAATCTTAGGCCATTTTGTTTGTTATGATTACATAATCTACATGGGCCTTCAATATTCTTCGAATAGAACTCTCTCCATAGGTTTAAAGGAATACTAAAGCATTAGCAAAACATGTACAGTAAGCGTGATTTATCTTTCTCCCACCTGCATGCCTCCAACACTGGTCAAACCAGATGATTGCTGGATGAGATTGCCATGCTCTCTGCATAGAAATGCATTACGTAAAGAGTATGCAGTCGCAGGACCAAATCCAAGAAGTCCTTCTAGTTGTTGTCTGAGAGCACCTAGAGATGCTCTGAGGCAATATATATATATATATATATATATATATATATATATATATATATATTTATTAAGCTTAGGACATGGGACATTTAGGGTTAATGTTAGGGTTCAAATTAGGGTTAGGATTAGGGACTTGTTCATATTTAGTGATATTTCACTTTAGGGGAATATCACTAAATAGTGATTTCTCACACTTTATTTTAACCCTTACCCCAAGGGTTAGGGTAAGAATAGAGTGTGAGAGAGGTTAGAAGCACTTACCTAACCCTAATTTGTACCCTCACTTAACCCTAAATGTCCCGTGTGCCTAAGCTTAGTGAATGCACTAACCATAATGAAAGTGTAAAACTAGTTTTATTTACCTTCCAGGACCTTGCTGTGGAGGAGTAGCAGGAGTGCTAGCACGCATGTGCAGCACAGGAGACAGCTGATTCCCCTCCCCGGAAGTGACGTGGGTATAGCAATCTGACGGGGTATACCAGACTGATAGAACACCGGGACAGAAACCGGAAGCGATAGGATGGTGGAACGCATGTTGCGTTCCAATAATCTGTAACCCCGAAACCCGGAAGAAAGATGAATGCATTTTAGGTGAAACCGGAAGCGGAAGGCCGTGAATATGATGTTGGAACGCACGTTGCGTTTCAACTCCGTATAGCCGGAACCCGGAAGTAAGAGATGAAACCGGAAGCGGAACAACGTAAAGACGATGGTGGAACGCAAGGTGCGTTCCAACAGCGTATAGCCGGAACCAGGAAGTGAAACAATACCAGAAATGAAGAACCCGGAAATTAGAGACATATAAACTATTTAAAACAGCTAAGTAAGGAGAAAAGACATAACCAACCAACTGAGGAAGCCCATTTAAGGGCAAAACGCGTTTTGGACATTTAATTGGACATTTGAACCTGGTATTTATATTCATTTTATATAAAGTTTATTATTTTTTTAGTATATATGTATTAGGGATCACCAATAAAGGTACATTATCTATGAGACCTTGGCTGTGGTACCCTATATATACACATCTAATATTGGGAACACTGGACGACTAGCACTACTTCAAGAAGTCAAAGGAACCAGGCTTCCAGCAGAATCGTGAGCAAAAGAAAGGATTGGGCACCCTGAAATTGTCCACAAGCGTTTACCATCTGAGTCATATGTGGTTTATGACTCTTGACTTGTGAGTGACACCATACACGCCTTTCTATAGACTGCTTATGTTATAGCAATATTGCACTATTTGTGTTTTGTATTCATATTATTGCAGATATTTTCTGAACATTTATACAAGAAGCTCCACCTTATATATGTATGTTTTTCTATGTATCTTGTAGAGGTGGTTTAGGGGATACTACTCAAGGTGTTTGAGCTTCACGTGATACTTTGTAAACTCCATATTGTGCACCTATCTATTAATTTGACATCTTAACTGGAGTCCACTTCTTGATTATTAAAAGGACACAATATACAAAAAAACTGAGTTTATTTTGAATGCATTAAATTGATAATACATTAAACAATTATTAAAACACATTACTCCCTGACCAATTGGAGTGGTTTATAGATGCTGATCTTGATCATAAACCACTGCCCGGGTTATTCATAAACTTTCCCAATATATGCTCCAGTGTTGCGTATGTATTGTACTAAACGACTGTTTTCTTTTAAATAGTTTTTCTATAATATATATATATATATATTTATATGTTTGGCCTGGACTTTATTCAGTCTTAGGGCAGTAGCATGACATGCACGCAGTGTTATTTATTTTTTTGTAAATATTTTCTTTATTAAAAAATATTCATTATCAACTGTGTGTCATGAGCAGTCTTATAAAACCTTGTTGCAGACTCGCAGGACCCATGTACCATGAGAGAGAGAAGAAACGGATCATAAAATTGGTGAATGTGTAACTGTGCCTGCATGGTCGTGCACAATTAGCCTCAATTGGTACTCACAGGTCCCTGGTATTTTGGGGAAAGATGAAGGGGAGGCGGGGGGAAGAGAGGGAGGGGGGGAGACAACCAACAAGTACACGCAGTGTTATTTATAACGTATATGTTGGCTTTAAGGCAGTATGATTACCTACCATGTAGTAAAGTACTGCTCAAAATTTCCACCTGCCACTAACCATTACGTGCGCCATGGACCTCTTCAGTCTTGCAGTGGTGAGTAAGTTTTAAGGTCTGGCTAGTAGTGTGGGGTCTGAAAATGTAAGCTCTGCAATGTCTATATAATTTAATTCTTGAAATCAAATACTTGCAATCAATGGGTTCCCTGGTGCCTGCTTTTGCAGTGATATAGGAACTTGAATGAAAACCACTCGTGGGACTTGAAAAGCTTTTATTGAAGCTTAAAAGTGGTTACAAATAAAATGGTCCTTTCAGTCTCAATGTAGCACTTTCATCATCCATTTGGACAAAATGTCGATGTCATTTGTGACTGCTGTAAATCCTCAATAAAAGGTTTTGCAACTCATTTGAGTACTCTCATTCAAGTTGCTATGTAATCTATGCAAGTCACAATGCTCCTCTAAGTGGGTATTTTCAAGTATTTCTTTTAACCCTGTATTTGGAACAGAATGTTTCTTATGTATTTAGAAATATTACTTTTGGAAACAGTCTTAGGGCGGGGGATGACGTGACGCATAAGCACGCACACAACCACCCTCACGAGGTTATGAGTCTGAGGAGGAGAGCGTCTACACCATGCGGTAATGATGAATGCTGAGAAGCTGTTCCAAGGCGATTTAACAACTTGTGAGACGCTGTGGTCTTTTTGCCAAATTAACTTTCCTGGAAGAAGGGTCGACCTGCTCTACTATACTGCGGCTACCTGTCTGTTGTTTTCCCTCAATCATACTATCTGTGTTGTGTGGGGAAAACTTGGGTGGTGAGTGGTGACTGTAGGAGGCAGTGGATTGCGCTGAGACCACCCAAGGAGTACCCTGCGGTTGAAATATATTAGATTGAGACATTGATCCTAAGCTATGGTATAACGAGGAACCATCTGGGTCTCCCAATTTTGCTGTGATATGAGTGGACATTGGATAGGCAAATATATAGCCTGAAATATCCGTTGCAATAAATACTGCTACAGAATTCTCCGGCAGCCGAATGTTTTTTTTACATACAGTATATACTCGAGTATAAGTCTAGTTTTTCAGCAAATTTTTTGTGCTTAAAAACCCCCCACTCGACTTATACTCGAGTCACTGTCTGTATTATGGCAACTTAGAGAGCCGCGGCAGTCAGAGCCATGGCAACGATCCACGCGGCAACCAGACCGCGAGACTTACAGTGGAGCTGACCGTAACGGAGAAGGGAGCTGACAGGAGCTGCAGGAAAGGTAAGTAAATGCTTCCTGCCGGCCCCTCCACTTCACAGCCCATGCCACTGGACCACCAGGGATTAAGATAGCCCTCCTCCCTGACCAGTTAACAAGCAGGGAGGGGGGACAAAATAAAATTAAAATAATAAAAAAATTATATTAAAATAAAAAGAAATTAAAATAATAAAAATGCCCTCCCCCCACCCTGTTCACACACACACTACACAAACACACACTCTGCATTATATACACAGAGTGTGTATATAATGTAGAGTGTGTGTTTGTATGAGTGTGTGTGTATATATATAATGCAGAGTGTGTGTTTGTATGAGTGTATGTGTATATAATTATAAAAATCACAGAATTTCATAGCCCCAAGTTTTACCCTCGACTTATCCACGAGGCATAGCATATTTCACAATTGTTGGTCACAAAACTGCACTCGACTTATACATGAGATCGACTTATACACGAGTATATACGGTATATAATTTGTATCGGCTATACACTGAAGTGTGTGTGTGTGTGCTAATATCGTGCTAATAATAAGTCTACAGGGTTGCTGTAAATTACAAACTACAGCTAAGCAAATCCCTTTTTTTTTTTTTTTTTTGCTGTATGTAATTAGGCTCTGGTTGGGGGAGCACCTGAGGAATCTTCCCAAAGATATACTTGGTAAAATAAAAAAAAAGTTATTTAAAATATCCTGCCGGCAGCAGAAAATATTTTGCCAGTAGCCGATGAAAGAGATAAGGAGAAATCTACAGCTGAGAAAAATAAGAGCATTTACACTTTTCATTCGCCTAAAACTCAAGAATACACTCTAGTGAAAAGACCATCTCTGAGGGAACGAAGAGAATCTGCTCCTTTAAATTTAAATCAAGAACATTCTTTTTTTTTTTTTTTTGATTGAATATGTTTTTATTGAAACTTATTTATTTATTTTTTTTTTTTTGTTTACAACATGGCAAAGTAAAACGTGGACTCGCAGGTACCTTTGGTTATTTGTATATGCTTATACATTGTTAGGTACGGACTGTCAGACGTGTATTGGCGACTCGCAGGTCGCTTTCTTGAATAAATGACGTGTGTGTATGGTGGACTCACAGGTCCAGTAGTACATAGTTATGAATAGTACTCTTTTATGTTTGATGTGTACCATTTCTACGTTGGGTAGGTTCGTATCTCCCGCAGGTTTTCGTCTATTCCCCCATGCCCACCCTGTAGCCACTAGGCAGTAGTGAGACATGAGGGCCTCCTAATGTGTAGGGTCCCATCAGGACACGCAGACTCCTTGTGACCTTTTGTCTAGAATCCTGAATGGCGGTATAGTGGGGTGTTGACATATGGTGTTTATGGGGATAACCTAAGGGGCATCCTGCGTTTCTGTCTAAACTAATAAACTTTGTAGCTCACGAAACTGGTGCGCTTCCACTGCACCCACAAGGCCATAGGCCGTTTTGGGTATTGCAGATGGCCGCACCCTGACGGGTGTCATAGCCCCCTTAGTACGCTTCCGTGGGGTCGGCCTCCGTGCCGCTACTCGGGCCCCCGCGCCCATGCTCCGCCCGGACCTGACAGGGGGTAGGGGGGTGGGGTAGGGTATGGGAGTGGGGTACTGTGCTTTGGGGACAGGTGTGGGTCGTCCCGTTAGTCTCCTGGTGTCTCCTCCTGGAGACTGTCAGTTCCTCCCCCCATGGTCAGATACACAGTCCGAAATGCCTCTGTACCCACCCGTGCCAGCCAGGGTGTCCATGTGTCTAAGTATGTCTGTGCTCGGTCTTTGGCTGTGTACCAGATTTCCACTGTAACTCGTAACTCCTCCATTCTAGTAAACCACAGGGAAAGCGTTGGGGTTGTGTCTTTTTTCCAGTACAAAGGTATTGTGTTTTGCGACATTAAGAATTTGGATAGTCAGGGATCGTTTGTATCGTGGTGTGGGGGTTGCCGTGTGGTGCAGGAGGTACGGGGGGGGCTGGAAGGGTGGGACTTTGTCTGTGAACAGGGCCACTATGGCAGCTATTTTCTCCCAGAACGGTACTATGAGTGGGCATTCCAACCATATGTGGAGGAAGGATCCTACCCCTCTCTTGCACCTCCAGCAGAGGCTGTCCATGTCTAAGTGCATTCTCTGTAAGCGTTCTTGTGTCAGGTACCATTGCGTCAGGACTTTGTAGGCCGTTTCCTGAGTTTTGCTAGCGATTGCGCAATGGTGCACTAGGTCGCTGATCTTGTGCCACTGGGTCTCGGTGAGTGTTTCCCCTACGGCGGTCTCCCATTTGGACATGAAGGGGGTGGGGGGTGTCCCTGTTGTCGTTGTAGCATAGAGTAGAGGTAGGAAATGCTATGGGGCATGGGCTCCGGGTCCTGGCACAACTGTTCAAATGGCGTAAGGTCCCTATATACAGTTGCAAGAAAAAGTATGTGAACCCTTTGGAATGATATGGATTTCTGCACAAATTGGTCATAAAATGTGATCTGATCATCATCTAAGTCACAACAACACACAATCACAGTCTGCTTAAACTAATAACACACAAAGAATGAAATGTTGCCATGTTTTTATTGAACACACCATGTAAACATTCACAGTGCAGCATGTGGCATGCTTGGGAATACAATTTGAGGTCAGGAACGGCCAGGCCTCCTGCTGTTTTGGGGAGTGTGAGTTGTGTGTATTTGAGTCTGGGTTTAGTGCCCTTCCTAATAATTTAATGAGGAGGGTGCGGGGAGTGAGATTGGTAGTGTCTGGAATAGGTAAAGTACCCGTGGGAGAATGCTCATTTTGGCGATGGCAACCCTGCCAAGCCAGGAAAAGTGAGGTGTGGCCCATTCCGTCAGATTCTTCCGTATGGTTCCCAGCAGTGGGGTGAAATTCATATGGTATAGTTTGGATAGGTCGGCCGTGAGCCTTACACCCAGGTATTTAATAGCGGTGTCCCGCCATTGGAAGGGGAAGTTTCGTCGGAATTCGTCTGCCCTCCTCCGGGGGAGCCAATGTTGAGAATAGAGGATTTAGCATAATTGATCTTGATCTTGAGTTTGGCGATTTGGCTGTATGTCTTAAACTCTGCCATGAGGTTTGGGAGGGAGATTTCTGGCTTAGTGATGAAAAATAGCCCGTTTATGCACACCCTGGCCGTGGGAGATGAGTAAAGAGATTCTATCCACTAGCGCATATGATTCCCAGGCCGATGTGTTCCATTACCAAGAATAGATAGTCCCACGCCACCCTATCGAAGGCCTTCTCCGCATCCATAGAGAGGAGGAGAAGGCTCTCCGAGGTGCGCTGCGCGTGGTGGATCAGAGAGAGGGCCCGGACCGT